AAGTATGTAACCAAGAGAAATGAAAACATACAGCCACACAAAAGTTTGAACAAGAATTTTCATAGATGTGTTATTCCTAACAGTCAGAATGTGGAAACAAATGTCCATCACCTGTTGAATGGATAAACCAGAAGTAGTATATCCATATAGTAGAATATTATTTGGCAATGAAAAGGAATGAAATATTGATACATGGTACAAAATGGATGAACTTTGAAAACATGCTAAGTGAAAGAATCTAGTCCAAAAACAAAACAAAACCCCTACATACTGTATGATTATATTTATAACATACTCAAAATAGGCAAATCCATAGAGACAGAAAGTAGATTAGTAGTTAGTTGTCTAGGGCTGGGAACCTTGGAGGTGAGGGAAGTAGCTACTAATGAGTGTAGAGTTCTTTTTGAATAATGAAAAAGTTCTAAAATTTATTGTATTGATGGTTACACCACTCTGTCCTAAAAATGATTGTATACTTTGAATGAATGGATTGTTTGGTATGTGAATTATATCTCAATAAAGGTGTCTATAAAAACACCAATAGAAAGATGAGCAAAGAATATGAGTAAGTCAATCTCAAAAAATACAAATGGCCAATAAATAGATGAAAGTTGTTTACCAAAAAACGGGAGGGAACAAAAAAAAAAAAAAACCCAAACCCATTGCCATCTAGTTGATTCTGACTCCTAACAACTCTATAGGACAGAGAAGAACTACCCCCACAGGATTTCCAAAGCTGTAAATCTTTACGGAAGCAGACTGCTACATCTTTTTCTGTTTCTTACTTTTGAATGCTTTCACGTCATGTTCAGACTTCCAGTATTGCCTGTAAATTGGGCCTGTCTGCACTGTACATAACAGTACTATCCTAAGATTGATCACACAAACCTTCTCCTATGCTGTTCTTACCAATTCTCTATATCATAGTCTTTCTTTTTGAGTACCATTTTTTTAGACACTTATCCCAGGCCTGTGTTTCAAAATCCCTTTTGTAGTTGGTACTGTTGGTTTTTAATGTATTTTTCCATGGGGTGTGTTTTTTAATTGCTTTAATCTTTTTGTCTGTGTAGTATCCCATGTTGTTGTTGTGTGCCGGCTGCCCCATAGGGTTTCCTAGGCTTTAAATCATCACAGCAGATCGCCAGTGTTTTCTCCTGTGGAGCAGCTCTTGAGTTCAAACCAACAACCATTCCGTGAACAGCTGAGCTAACAATTACTCCACCAGGGCTCCTTAGTGTCTTATAGTACTACCATATCCTTGGCTTACAATATGACTTTTTACCTGTGATCTACTGAAATGTATCTCTTTATGTACCAGTCTTTCTCACTAGATTGTGCTGTCTTGGCTACATACTATATTTAATAATCTTTACATTTGTAGGACTTAGTTGATGCTTAATAAATATTTGTTAGATAAATAAATACTTGAAATGTTCAACTTTTGATGAGACCCCTGAAGCTATGGCCCCTAGTTACCCTTCAGGTCTGGAATTGAACGCACTCCCATGGATTCCACCCAAACAATAGACAGGCATAAAAGGTGAACATATACATCAGGTAGAAACACTCCTTAGAACGATAAATCATGGGGGAACAGAAGGGCAGTATTTACACAGGGAGGTAGCTCAGGGGGCAGGAATGCATAGGAAAGAAGGGCACAGGGAAGAGTAACTGTGGGGAGGAGGTGGGAAAAGAGCTATTACACTGTGGGGAATTGCAGTCAATTGCACGAAACAAAATGTTTATGAACCGCTGTATGGAAAATGAATTTGCTCTGTAAATGTTTACTCAAATCACAATAAAAATTTAATTAAAAAAAAATGTTCAACTTTTTTGTGTTGTCTAGTTAGCATTCTACTCTATTGATTTTTTTTTTTTTTTTCTCCCTTTCAGAATTTGGAGCTGTCTGCTTGATATTTTCTGCAACACTAGTTTATTTTCCACCCCGGCCTCCACTTCCCCCCAGTGTTGCTGCAGCTAGTCAGAGGCTGAGTTATCGGCGCAGCTTTTGTAGATTATTAAGGTAAACAAACATGCTTAGTTGTTGGATGCTTCTGACTATCACCTTTAAAATAACTTTACATTTACGATAATCTATGACAGTAATTTTTCAGCAATCTATTAATCAAATAATTAATGAAATATTGATTAAATATTTTAGAAGGATTTCCTATTAGAAATCTGTCTTGAAAAATT